TGTTTTACATAAAGATATTTCGGTTTGCTTATAGAGGAGAGAACACAGTGAAAATTACAGGTATTTGTTGGCATTAAAAAAAAATCCTAGCTGGGGTCATGGTAGCTTATCTTGCAATCCTAGTTACTCAGGAAGCTGAGATCTGAGGCTGAAATCCAGCCCAGGAAGGGAAGTATGTGAAATTCTAATTTCCAGTTAGTCACAAAAAGCCAGAAGCAGAGTTGTGGAGTGCAAGCCTTGAGTAGAAAAGCTCCAGTAGCAGCGCGCGCACGCGCACACACACACAAAATCCTTCATCTTGACCCATCTCACTGTACTGATAGGTGGGCATATAGTTTTTAAACTCCATAATCTGTAGCATCTGAAATAGCATAAGATGCATAACTATGACTATTTTAATCACTAGAGAAATGGTTAGTAGAATAGAATACCTAAGGACTGTACTTAATTCTCTGTTGGTCTGTCACTATTTTCTTGAATCCTTTGGCCTAACTTTACACTTCTGTGGGGGTTATTCACAAAACTGAAGTACTCGTAAGTTTTGAACTCTAAAATGAGACAATCCTGAAGACACTATACACACACTCAACACAATTTTTTTTTACAATTCACTTGTGCCTTGGAGGGGGGGATAGTATTATCATTATTATTATTAAGAAGAAAAAAAACACATTTTGTCCCAGTATACTGGCCACCCTGTTTTAAGAGTTTTAGAAATCCCTGAGCACATTGTTTCTGACTCTTAACCCCAACTCCAAAATGATAGGGCGTCTATCCTTGATACCAAGATGGATTGTCACTCACAGTAACTCATCATAAGGTGCTTAGTTACCCTCCCCCCAACCAATCAGCACAAAGAACTGTCAGAAAATAACATTTTATTATTATCATTATCTTAAAATAATAGCAGTGGAAGGACACATGGTTAAAACAATGTTTGAAAACAGTGGCTTTAGGATTATTATCTGGCTGCTTCTCAACAACAAGTGATTCGATCGACATTCCTTAGCCAAAAACAAAAGGAAAAAAAAACCACCCAAAACAAAAAAAAACTGTACAAATATGTATTTTTTTTCCCTGAGGGATCAAGGTACACCCGCAAGAGCTCTATGTACATATTGCACTAACTAAGAGAGGAATGAGTAAGATGTGCAAAAAAGCAACAATGAGAAAAGCTCACACACTACTTAAACCTTTCCATGAAGGATTGTACTATGTTGTTTTGCATCTTGGAATGTCGGAACACAAACATCTAGCTACTCCTTTGTCTAAAACTAACAAACAAACAAAAACTAAAACACACCAAAAATACCAAAAAAACAAAACGAAACAAAACAACCCCATACATACATTTCTACTATGGCACATTCAATGAAATAAAAAGTTTTCCCAAAGACAGATAGACAAATCCCATCAAGAAAATAATACAAAGTTTTGTGTGTTTGTATTTTTTTTTTAGAAAATTACATTACTTTCTTTCTTTGTTTCACATTACAAAATCTGTTTTTTTTTTCTTTACACAAATCACATTTTATTGCAGGAATAGTTCAAGTGCCATCAAATATTTATAGAAGGGTTAAAAAAATAGAAGTCTCTCTAAAGTGGTCCAGACAAGGCTTTGTATAGAATAAATCTTTTTTTTTTCTCCATCTTCTAAGTTTTGATTTAAGTCTTTTGAATACATTTTCTTTTCCACTGACACTTAGTAGCCTAGAAGCGATCCCACACACGCACATCCACACCACATGCACACACGCACACACTCCCTCCTTCCTCCCCTGCCCCTCAGTCTACCCCCATACACTTACAAAGATCTGTTATCCACACTATAAAGAACAACCAAACTTAGATGCAGTGTCTTAGGCGATGTTTTTAAGTTAGGAAGGGTGAATTAGGATGCTGAAGACTTAAAAGAAACAAAAAACGAAGATTTAACTAAAAAAAAAAAAAGTTGAACACTTATTTTAAAAAATCCGTAGCTTTCACACAAATTTTCAGTCTGTCCAAAAACACTTTCACCTACACTTTTGATTTCATTGTGACTAACGCCAGTACTTCACAATATTAATTTGATTGTTTGGACACCATGTGTATCCACACACACACACACACACACACACACACACACCCATACACATATATTTTAAAGGCTTATTGGCCTTATGTAAAAAACAGTATATAAAGGGAACTACAGCAGACAAGCTGACTATGAAGTGGTTCTAGTCCTTAAAAGACTAGTGGACATTTAAGTTTAGAATACTCTAATTAAATCAACTATTAAGATGATCTCTTTTGGTATCATCCAGGATTTTTATGTCACCCCATGAGTGCTTTTACTAATAAGGGAGAAAAAAATGCAAAGGTTTCCATCCTTCTCTGGACTCCATATTTCCCTCAGTTGCATTTATCTGTTGAGCTTCAGATCCCATCGGAGTTCTCTCCATTTCTCTGAGCCCATCTCTGTCTCTACTATTCTGTTCTCACACTGTCGGTGGACTTTGCTTTGAAAGTTTACCTCCTGCTTTTCATTCAGAAATGCTTTAGAAGCAGCATTATATGACTTATAGATCGCCTAACTATTACTGAGATTAGAGCTTTTTTCTGTTTCCAAATTGGGTATGTGTAAAATCCTTTCTGAGAAAAGCAATTTCCTAAAGTTCAACATTGCATTCTCTCTCACCCTTAGAGAAGTTCAATTGGCTTTTCTTCTTCTTCACAAATGGACACTGGAATTAGGTTTAGTTGCTCTTTAATATGCTAGCACCTGAGGCTGGTCATATTCAGAAAGCTTTGGTTAAAAACAAGTTAATATACTTTAATAAAACCATCCCTAAATTTAGTGAATTTAAATCACCAAAAGGGAAAACAAAACAACAACAAAACAACCCCATCCCCACCCACCTCACTAAAGGAGAGAGAACAGAAAAATACTGGACAAATAAATAAATGAACTTGGTACTCTTCAGAGTATAAATACTATGAATCTTTAAAGGAACTATGTACTTAAATAAAAATTTGCTTTAACCCTTCTTGCCCAAATATAAATACTATACGCTGACAGTTAACCTCTGTATATAAACACTCACATAAAATTTTATATGCCTGTAAGATAGTTAAGTAAATATTACTCTTCTATTCATGGTTCAACCATTACTATATTTTTGAAAAAAATTTGGATGTTATTTAGGCTTCATACACACATCTGTGTAAACAATTCCTTCCCCTGTTCTAAATTCCTCAGGAAACAAGTCAATGGAGTTACACAGAGTGAGGTCTCTGGGAAGCCAGGCCTGGCCATCTAGGTGGACATCAGCAGGAATCAGAAGATTCTAGAGGGACCCTAGTGTTGCAGAAGGCTCTCAAGTGGAAAGGGTTTCTGGGGGACTCCCCCTTTTATACCATACAATATATTCCCATGTCCTTAGAGCCATGTTCTTTGATGTCAGACCAGGAACTTGAGCCCCCATCCCTAGTGTGACTAAAAAGAAAAACGTTCTAAATGCCTACATTCCCCAAAGGTCCCTGGGCATTAAAATATGCACACCTGTGTACAGCGAACTGTTCATTTCTCTCTCTCCCACTGGGGATTATTAAAAAATAATACAAACAACAAAAAACCTCAATATTTCTCACCTGAACACACAAGCCAACCAATCTTCTAAATATTGAATAAAATAAATTAGAATCCACAGTTTTCTAGTAAGGGTAAACGCAAGAATAAATGTTGGCAGCTAGCATCAACTTCACTTTTAAAGGCTTAAAATACTTAAATAAGAAAAACAGGTCCAACCTCGAACACCTCCCTCACTCTTCTACCCATGGTCTACCAGGACATAGAGGGCAGTGTTGTAGAACCGTGGTGTCTGGGAATGGCTAGTATAGAATCGGTGTACTCTTGAGATGAACTCTTAGGGTTCCTAGATTAAACCGAGAACATCAAACATTCACACCATGCTTTATTTCCTCAAACAATGCATGTGCCATTGCTCCAGATAGAATCTTTGGGTTCTAGATTCTAATAAATAATCTGGTTACTTATTTGTTGTCAAAGCATTCCAAGTTGAGACTTAAGCCATGAGGGCTGAATCTTGGACAAGGAACCTCTTTTCCCTAACCTCTCAAAGGTGGCATTTAAAGACACACACGTGTGTGTGTCTTTAAAAAAGTCCACAGAGCTAATTGTTCAACTTTGTATGAAGCATAAACACATCGATTCTTAAACTTAACCAGAAAAAAACAAAAGCAAAGTATAATTTAGGGAGAATTCCATTTCAAATTCCAAATTTCACATGTGGGAAGAATAATTGCAATATTGTTGATTTCTAGATATGACCAGCCAGTCTTTTTAAAAAGTAATTTTGTAAACAGCAGCATAAATACCTCCCGACATACCTTCCAAGCCTTCTCAGTTCAACTTGTGTTTCTGGTGTACATGGAACACGACAGTGAACACAGCTAGCATTTAATTTAAAGAAAAAAAAAGGTGCAAAATGAAAGTGCCTTAATCAATTCAACAAGAAAAGCTACACCATAACTACATTTTATATTAATTAAAAACAATATATAAACAATCTCTCTTTTTCTTTAAGCTATATATAGTCTTCATGCCCATTTACCCTGTAATATATTATAATGCTATTGTTGGTAGAGCTCTTGCGCTCTTTTCTAGGCCGTCCTGCTGACTGGAAATACTCGGTGAGACAACGAAAAAACTTCCTTCATGAAACAGAGCAAAGTCGTGTGAAGTAAATGCTGCTACCTCCACCACACACACACACACACACCAGCCACCGATTTTTTTCTTGTTGGACTCTCCGTTGGAACGTACAGACTGGTCAAGCTGTAGAAAGTCTGGGCAGTGACCTACAAGGAAGGGGGAAAAAAAAAATCCTCCGACTTTAGTAAATCATCCTTCTGCTGTAAACAGAGGTCAAAGCTCGAGACGTCAAGACAGAAAAAAGGGTCCATATCTGTAGGCAGAATGGAAATCATATGCGTGAGAAAAACGAAGTTCAACTTTTATTTGCTTCCATTGTCTCCCTCCTTTGCCTGACCCCCAATCACAAAAAAAAAAAAAAAAGAAAAATGTGCAGTGTGTTGGCGCTCCAGGGCTGTCTGTGCAGGGCCATAAAAAGTGTCTTGGTTACTTTTTTTTTTATTGTTGTTGGTTTTTTTTTCTGTTTTCTTTTTCATATTTATACTTCAGACATTCTTGAAGTACTTGGGTGATAACCTTTACCCGTCAATTTGCATCGCTGGCTCAAATTCTGAAGTGAACAACTCTTTGTATAATGGAGGAAAATGAAGTCGTACAATGTCTGGGTATATTGCTTTAAACGCCATTAGCTTTTCTGTATGCCGTCCGCATAAGGCTCTTAACGTAGACACCTTGCATATTAACTGTAAGTGGGGGGAAAAAGGACACCATGTCAGGGGAGGACAGACATAAGGTTGTAAAAGAAATGAAGGAATCTGGATGCTCTTTATTTGCAACTTTGCTGACTGGGGAAACACAGTTGAAATTCTTACTCCTTTAATCATAGAGGACTGGTAAGGAAAAAAAAAAAAAGATCTTGTCCTGTCATTGAATGTTACAAATCACTGAGTGCTATTTCGAGGATGAACAATTTAACCTGAGAAAAGTATTCACAAGCCAAGTCGGTCCTGCTCATCAATGCTGGACCAAATGAGAACCTAAGGCTCTCTCCTCTTCTCCCTAATCCAAGGTGCTTTCTGCTCCACCATTTAGTCCCTTCTCTGTGGGAAGAGGGTGCGTGATGGAGAAGTGGAGATAGTCCACGGTTATCTGGCCACCCCAACTATCCACCCCACATCTTATCCAGAACTTCAGTACTAGTTAGATCCAAGGACGTAACATTTCTGCTCGCTAAACTATCCCTATTCATAAGGAGGCCAATATGCAATTCTACAGGTGACCTAGAGTCCGAAGGCCTGTATAGAAGTCCCCGCTTTGACCATGGGGCCATGACCCTTTGGGGACTGGTCATGTGCCAAGGGCTTCTGCCAGCATGCTCCATGCTATGCAGTAATTCAGCCACACCAATGAGAACCTGCGGGCTCACCTTTGTTAGTATTCCATCTTCTCGGTGGTTCTTCTGTAAGACATGTTGAAGAGCTAGCTGAATTTTCTGCTGCAGCTTTTCAATTTTTACCTTTTCCTGCAGCCAGGAGCGATCTAAATGTGAGAAATGGTTGTCTTTAGTGTCACTCCTCCAACAAGGCGTCAGGCCTCCCCCATTCTGCCCTTATCCCTGGGATGCAGATTTTCCTATGCTACAATGCACACTAAGAGATGCACAGGCTGGGTTTATTCTCCTTCCAAAATCTGCTGCTAAAGGAGTAAGAAAATGAACCATGACAGTGATAAAAAATAGTGTTAACCTTCCCATTCTCACTGATATTTGAAGGAAGGGAGCCATTGCAATGTAAGGCCATTTTCCTCCATTATACAATGTAAGGCCATTTTCCTCCATTATACAAAGAGTTGTTCACTTCAGAATTTGAGCCAGCGATGCAAATGAATCTGCCCTGGTCTGGCCAGGCTTTCATATACACTTCTCAAAGATGTTTTCTCAATCCTGCTAGCCTTTTTGGAAAATTGAAATTGCTTTATAATGCAGGTCTACTAAGGTTGTCAATCGAATTTCAAGGCTAGCCCCTCTACCACTTGAGTATAGCTCCACTTCTGGTTTTTTGGTGGTTAGAGGTAAGTGACTCGTGGCCTCTTCTGTCTGGACCAGCATTTAGCAGCGATCCTTGGATCTCAGCCTCCTGAGTAGGATTACAGGTGTGGGTTACCCAAACCCAGCAGGGGCCTTATGTTTATGCTTAGCTTTTTGGCTCAAGACTAGAGCTCTATCATTTGTGCCACACCACTGCTTCTGGCTTTTTGGTAGTTAATTGGAGGTGAAAGTCTCATGGGTTTATCTGCTCAGACTGGCTTCAAACTGCCATTCTCGGATCCGCACTTTTCTTTTTCTTTCTTCCTTTCTTTTTGCCAGTCCTGGGCTTTGCACTGTGGGCCTAGGTGCTGTCCTTAAGCTCCTTTTGCTCAAGGCTAGCATTCTGCTACTTGAGCTACAGCTCCACTTCTGGCTTTTTCTGTGGTTAATTGGAGACAAGAGTCTTACAGGCTTTCTTGGCTTTCTGGGCTGGCTTCAAATGGTGATCCTCATGCGTGAGCCACCAGCACCTGGGCAGGTCTCTGCTTCTTGAGTAGCTAAGATTGCAAGTATGAGTGCACCCAGCTAGGTAGGGAGTCTTCAAAGGGCATGCTGCCTTGGAGGCTGGTGTTAAGAGCAGCAACTCTCCCACAATGTTTGTGTTGGAACACAGAAGAAGTTAATTCTGGACTGGGTTTTACTTGGTTAACAGTCCCTAAGATTCTATCTAAAAGAAAAGATTCTACTGAAAAGAGGTGTGTGTTTGTGTCTGTAGAGGGGTTTTTTTGAAAACAGGAAAAAATAATTTACTAAGGCTAACAGGGGCTCTTGGAAGCCCCTCAGGTACTCAGTTGCCAGTCAGAGGGCTCACCTTGTAAAACTCTTCACCTGGACCATTTAACAACCACTTTCTTTCTCTTTAAATTTTATTGTAAAGGTGATGGACAGAGAGGATACAGTTACATAAGGTAATGGAGTTCATTTCTTTTTGATCAGTGTTACCCCTCCCTCACTCTTCCTCCCCAACCACTTTCTTTTTACCTGGTTGTCTTACCTGCTGACATCAGGACAAATGCAGAAAATAATGCAATTTCATCTTCAGTCAGGTGCATAGAACATAAACTCTTTCCAAATTCAAACACAAAGCTAATAAAGTCTTCACAACCTGGCAAAATACAAATAAAGGTAGTCTAAGATTATTTGGTTATTAACCTATTGGGGAAAATATGGAACAAGATAAAAAAGCTCCAGTCGTTGAAGATCAGTGAGCACAGTAATAACATTTATAGTTCAATAGCTTTGAGAGGATAAATTCACTCAACTTTGTTTTCAACTCTGTTATGTAAAACGCTCATAGTTGGTCACTTAGGGCTCACACCTGTACTCCTAGCTATTCAGATTGAGCTCTGAGGATCGAGATGCAAAGCCAGCCCAGGCAGGAAAGTCCATGAGATTCTTATCTTCAATTAACCACCAAAAAAGCCAGAAGTGAAGGTCTGGCTCAAGCCGTAGAATGCCAGCCTTGGGCGAAAAAAGCTAAGTAAGAGTGTGAGACCCTGAGTTCAAGCCCTAGTACTGGCACAGAAATAAATAAATCACCCTTAAAAATGATGACAAATGACACAGACTGACAGTAAAGCTACCATAATTATTTATCAAACTGATGACACAGAATGTAATGGTCAACAAAAAAATCAAATCCTCAATAGTCTGGTTAAGTTTGGTGTCTGTTCTTTCCGATTTACCTGTTATGTATATAAATAGCAATGAGGTCTCCCATGCAATTTAAAGCAAATCACTTAATGCCATGTATCTTGGATTCCTTTTCATTCTTCTTAATGACTAGATCTCACTTTAAGTTACAGAAATCCAGAACAATTTATATAGTATATGCCATCTTTCATTTTTCTCTTAGTTATATTTTATTTCTTGGCTATTTGTGTTTCCTTCTCATTAATGGTTTTTGTTTGAGGGTGTCAGGAAGGGCAAACATTTTGCTCTTTGCTTGATTTTTATGTACCAAATCATATTGTAAGTTACTTCAACATTTATCCCCTGAAAATCTGATTTCTTAAAATCTGAAGGGGGAAAGTCTATTGGAGATGAATAAGCTAGCAGGAGCAGGTTAGGCTGAGGTCGAGGTAGGAAAGGTCTTAGGAGGAAAGGAAGAGGAGCAGAGGGAGGGATAAAAGAGGTGAGATTGATTGGAATACATTGTAGACATGCATGGAAATCTCTCTCCCCCCAGTATAACGAATGTATGTTAATTCAAACATATCAAAGAGGGGGAACTAGAAGAATATGTACAATTAATTGCTTCAATCCCGAACTAGAAAGTGAAACTTGAGAGGTTTACCTACAGTGGAAGCCAAAAGCATTTGAGATGTATCACTTTCCCCCAGTGACTAGCTGCAGAAGCATAACGCCCTTTAATGTGGATGTGCAGCGGGCCAGCTTCCATGCTGTCCACGCAGTGCTTCCGTCCAACCCACCGCTTTCCTCAGATTGCCCATTTATGGAGGAGGTACCCTGAGATTTCCTTACCTAAGGATTTGAAGACATCTGGGCTGGCATACTTCCCATCAAAGTACACGGTGTTGTTCTGAGAGTCAAAGGCACGGCACATTCTGATAAACACCACCTCTAGGGAACCTGAGCAGAGGCAGAAGTGGTTTGGGTCATTTTTTTCACTGGGAATTTACTTTCTGTCCCGCAGGCCCAGCTTGAGACTGTAAGCAAAGGCTATTATGGTCAAACTCAGTTAACTGGAAGGAAGATTGATTTACAGGTGACTTTTTTGTGTGTGTCAGTGCTGGGTCTTGAACTAAATGCTTGGGCACTGACCCTGAGCTCCTTTTGCTCAAGGCTAGAGCTCTACCATTTGAGCCAAAGAACCACTTCCGGCTTTTCCTAGAGATAAGAGTCTCATAGACTTTCCTGCCTGGGCTGGCTTTGAACTGCAATCCTAAAATCTCAACCTCCTGAGTAGCTGAGATTACAGGAGAGAGCCACCAGCACCCAGCTTTCTTAATACTGTTTTGCCTTGGAATGACAGTCTGAGTTGTTAGAACATCATTTATTCATATTTAGTATTCTTTATTATCCCCAAATTAAGGGATTACTGAACTCTGCCAGCCTCTCCCGAACAGGATAGCATGTTGGCACATGGAAGGGATAAGAAGCAGGAGATGATTACATTCAGGAATGGTGGTGTCTTTCAACTGAAACTTTTCACTCAGGAGAAGCAAAATGAAAGACATGGTGCCTGAACCTGACTTTAAAAATCTTGAAAAAAATTAGGACTTAACTTTCTGCTAAGATAAATCTGAGTCCGTATCATTAGCAGGGAAAAAATCCCCACACTTGACACCTTCCTTAGCAAGCAATTTCTCTAACGAGCAGAAGGAAAGCACATTAGGAAGAGACCTTAGAATCCTCTTGTAAAGCACATACCTGCTTTCAGAAGCACAATTTGATCATTTTGACACAACTCCATAAATCCATCAATGCGTTTGGCAAACTCCACCACATACTGTATAGCTTCTGTGATTTTGATGGCACATAATTGCCACATCACCTCCCGCTGCTGTGAGGGAGAAACACATGACTATATCAGTTGCCCAACACTTGTGGCACCATGGCTTTGAGGACTGCTGGGTTCTAATATCCTCCTTTGGAAAATTGATTCAAAATGCCTAGAGGACTCACACAGAGACCCATGCAGAGTTTTCCTGTTATTCCAGTTATAAGGATTGTGTTTCTTCCTTCTCTGATTATTCTCTTACAGTTTGTGTGTGTGTGTGTGCATGTGGGTGTGGGTGTGTGGTAAACAATGGGACAGGAGTAACATGTTACAAATATACAGGTCAGAAAAGGTGAACAGAAGTCAGGGAAACAACACATGCCCATATATGTTTTAGCCCATACGTGTTTTGCCACAGAATGGTAAAAGTGGATCTTCTTTGAAACAAATCCGTTTGCTTGGGAAACTGAACAACAGTACTGAAAAGGAGGGGAAGAATAGGAGAATGGTAAAATGTATTAGGGTGCCCATCTGTATGACATCCTCAACTCAGCATCTTCATAAGAACTTCTTCCTCATTGTCTAGATCTGACAATGGAGGAGCACATTTCACAGGTAGGAGCTAGAGGAGCTGGATTCAAATCCACGCACACAGCCCACTGTGAAATGCCATTTCGTATGGCTTGCTGTGTCTTAACTGCTTTCTTGTTCTGCTATGTAGCTTTGGAGAACAGGGTATCTGCTACCTCAAAGGCAAGCAAAGTAATATGTTGGTAGTTCCCACCTTGCCTGTTAATTTCCCTTCACAATCACACTACAGTTTAATCTCAGGGTTGCCTGTTTCCCACTTGGTTTAAGACTTTATCTACAGACAATGTCTTTAAGACTGTGTATATCTCTATAATAAATAGGGTCTGAGAAACACTAAATTGTGAGCTAGGAATCCCAGCCTGGTCCTTATATTCCCATACTCTAGCCATATTCTATGGATGTTAGTTTCCTCATGAAGGGGGGAATTAACCTAGATAATCCCCATGCTCTTTTGTAAACTTGAATCTCTGATTACTGTGAACACTCCCCAGGTCTTCTTTTGCCAAAGGCAAATGGATTCTCAGAAGTTCTCAATCAGTATTGTATGGAAAAAGGCAAGATGCAGCTCCATCGGTCAGATTCATTATAAAAGATTCAGATCAGACTTAGGATCTTAGCTACCAAACCCTGTATGTTTTGTTTTGTTTTCTGGTTGGTCCTGGGGTTTGAACTCGAGGCCTGGGTGCTGTCCTTGAGCTTCCTTGCTCAAAGCTAGTACTCTACCACATTGAGCTATAGCCCCACTTCTGGTTTACTGGTGGTTAATTGGAGGTAAGAATCTCAGACTTTGCTGTTGCAGCTGGCTTTGAACTGTAATCTTCAGATCTCAGCCTCCTGATTAGCTAGCATTACAGGTATAATCACTAGCACCCGTCCAAACTCTATTTTTATATATGCTTTCTAAACTCCTGGTCAACCTCTGGTAACATGAGGCTGAGCTCCTTTGACATCAACTTCTAGACCTTAAAAATCTTCCTTTGGAAGAATAGAACAAGTTTGTACAGACTTTGGGAAGTGTTTGATCAGGTTCTGTGTTGACACACAGAGGGAGCTATGTGTGTGCACACAAACCAAAAAGAAATCGCCACATCTCAGTGACGACAACAAAGCCTCAAGCTCTGGAAGAAATGATTTTGTTAAGCAGAAATCTGATATCTGAGGAAAGCCATTCATTCTGTTTGCTTAAATCAATCTCTTACACCCTTTCCCAATGTGGCTTCACAGTCTTAAGGAAAATCCTTCGGGTTCTACCTTGTTTTGATAGTTCTCAATTTCTTCCTGCAGGAAGGTCTGCCACGTGATCTGCTGCAGCTCTTCTCTCAAGTATTGGCAGGTTTCCAGGTGTGACTTAGATATGTTCTGTGCAAGGTGTTCTAAGGAGAAAAGGAGAAGTCACAAATACAGAAAGCCACTTTTTTGTTTGATGAACAGTGATTCCTTACTATTTGCTTTAGAAAGTAGTAAGTAAGCCGGATGCTAGTGACTCATACCTGTAATCTTAGCCCCCCTGGAAGTTGAGATCTGAGGATTATGATTTGAAAAGTCTGATAGTGGGCAGAAAAATCAGAGAGACATCTCCAGTCAACTAGCAAAAAAAGTAGGAAGTGGAGGTACGGCTCAAGTGGTACAGCACCAGCCTTGAGCGGACAAAGCCAAGGGACAGTGCTACTCTCAGGGTTCATTCCCCAGTATGGCACAAAAGGAATGATGAGTGTCCATACTGCTTTTATCGAAAGAAGAAACGAGATCACTCTGTGTTGGGAAACTTGAGGATGGAGGACAGGGCCTTGGCAAAGCCAGTGTCAATGGCTGGATGACTTCAAAGACTTGGCCAACCTTGAGCTTGGTTTTTTTTTTTTTTTTTTTTTTGGTGCATTTACTTCACTGTCTGGGAATGAACAACTATTGACCTATTTAAGAATGGGAAAATGATGGATGGGAACTTGGTGGCGTTTTAATGACACTCAAGGGAATGGTTATGCTTGGACAAGTAGGAAATGATATTTGTCAGTGACGACGACTCTGCATTTGCTTATCCTGCTAGAGGCAGGCCAAATAACGCTGAGCTAGTGATGAGGGAAGTAAAGAGCTAGACTCTGGATAGAGATGAGCCGGGTCTGTACCTCAGCCCTGTGACTTACTTGCTGTATGATCTGGGGTATGTTGCTCAGCCTTTCTGTGCTTTAACTTCCTCATCAGTAAAGGGGAGGGCAGTTTAGTAGATCTCTCTGTTTTATCGGGCTGCTGTGAGAGTTCGTGAGTTTGAGCAGGCAGGAATGGGGAGGGTCACATAGCGTGCGCTGTATTGTTACACCTGAGCGCAAGAGGATGGAGTAGACTAAAGTAAGGACCAGACGACATTAGCACGTTCGATGCCAGGGATATATGCAGACAAAACTGAAACAGGTAATTCAAGTCAGTAGACCATGAAATACGAAAGTGAATTACAGCTGAGCTCTGGTGACTCATGCCTGCAATCCTCGTGGCTCAGGAGGTTGTGGTTCAAAGCCGACCTGGGCAGGAAAAGTCTATGAGACTCATGTGAACCATAAAAAAGCCAGAAGTACAGATGTAGCTCACATGGTAGAGTGTTAGCTTTGAGTGCAATAGCTCAGGGATGGTACCCAGGCCCTGAGTTCAAGCCTCAGTCCTGTCACACAAGCAGACATACAGTCAAGTCCCTGAGTTCAGGCTGGTAGTATAGGCTGGACACATGTATGTTCATGTGTGCGCGTGTGCACGCACACACAAAATTACATCACAAGATAACGAAAAAATAAGTGGTAGAGGTCAGTGTTGACTCAGGAAGACTGCTGCTTCTTGGTGGAAGAGGACCCTTCCAAGTGGACACCGAAGGACAGCTAAGCCTGGCAGGCAGAGCCCCCCCCCCCAGTGTGGATGATTAGTTTGTGTAGAATGTCCGGTGGATGAAAGAACAAACATGACATTTTCGGGGGACGGTCAAATGTGATTAAGATAATAGTGCTGAAACAGAAAAGAAGTCGGACACTGGTGACTCACACCTAGAATCTTTGCTATACAGGAGATTGAGATCTGCGGATCACGGTTTGAAGTCCATGAGTCTTTTATCGCCAGTTAACCACTAAAAGTCCAGAAGTGGAGCTGTGGCTGAAGTGGAAGAGCACTGACCTTGAGTGAAAAAGCTAAGGGACATCATCCAGGCCCTGAGTTCGAGTTCAGAAATGTGGATGCATGTGCATCCCAGAGGTGGTCAAGACCTAGCCTGCTTGAGAATCTTTAATCAGAATGACATGGCAACAAGCAAATGGCAGGATTTTCTAGTGAGAGTTGCCAACTGAACTCTTGTGCCTGGGGACAGAGGACAAGCAATTTTGAGCTTGGATTGAAGCAGAGAGGCCAAGTCAGAAGAAGCAAGTAGAAGGCTGCTGGCATGTAGATATGAGGGACGGAGCATGAAATGGGTTGGTAATAATTGTTCTGGAAAGGAGGAGAATGCCCACAGATGTATTTAAAAGAACCCATGAAATTTCATGAACATGAAATCGTGCCCAAAGATTCCCCCTCCTAGGGTCTTGAATATATAATAAGCAAGCTACTTAAAAAAACGTGAACTTGGCAACCCTAGTCAGTGTGTCTGTTTGCAAATTAGTTACTGTTTTCTTCCAGAAGGAGCTGTGTGTGAAAACAGAGCAGGTTTACCTAAAGAGAGTCTGAGAGGAAAATCTCCTTGGAGACACGGAAACAATAAATCTTAGCAGCTCTATTTGCAGATACACAGAAACATTAAGACAGCATGAATAAATACTGTAACGATAAAATTTTTTTTAAAAAAAGTAAAGAGAAATGAACAGAGGGAGAATCCAGCAGATTATGTGTGTTAGAACAGATGATGGTTATGAAGATTGAAGACAAAAATGACAGGACTCAGAGATCAGAAAATTACTGTACAAACTAGTGAACTTTCTCCAATGAAATAATATCTAAAATATCTTCCATGACATGGAGCAAGTTTTGCATTTATGAGAAAAAAATCAGAATGTTCACAGGGTAACTCTGGGATTACACGGGGTGAAAGATGGGAAGTTGCTTTTTAAAGTTAATGTTGTCAGCATCTTGCTTCATTGTAATTTTCTTTAAAAAATGTTTTCAGGGTTGTGGGCATAGCTCAGTGGAGAGTCCCTGTCTGGCATGGCCAACACCCTGGGTTTTGTCTCCAGCTTTGTGAAGCTGACAACTAGAGACTGACTTTTAAAGAACAGCCAGTGAAACCAGCAACAGTTCACTGCACATATTGTACCAGTAGAGGGCAGCAGTCACATCTGCACAAATTCACTGCCTGCCTGTTCACAATAGATTTGGTCTTAAGATTTTAGAGACATGGTGACTTTAAAAATCTGACTATGGTCAGAATGACTACAAGTTAATAAGCTGGTGTGGCCTGGAAGAGAAACTTTACGGAACAGTGAAATACCTAAGATGCTCATTACAGGACCTGGTTTGGGGACGGAGCTCCTCTCTCAAGCAGAACTGCTTCATCCACACAGAGAGCCTTTGGATACACTCTTGGCTTCTGACTTACACACTTTGAGTGAGAAAGACTTGAGATCTCATCGGTCCACTCATTAGTGATGAACATTTTATGCCCCTTTGCTCTGCGCCAAGAGCCAACAATTACATCCATTCTGAATACATTCATCTTCTCAATCCTCATAATTCCTGGAGAAAGGTGTCAGTCCTCTCTCCCATGGTACAGATGAGAAATCTGAGTCATAGTAGAGATGACATTCCTCAGGGTGTCCTAGCTATGAGTCAAATTCAATCTGGTTTCAGAGTCTGTGCTCAACCTTTCTAATCTATAGGAGGGGAAACTGTAGCTTGCATTTATACAACTTACACTGGGCTGGACAATTGATCTGAACGGTGTCTAATTAGGTACTATCATGTAAAGTTTGGTACAATTGTCTCATGTCTGATGTATCACTTCTCTCTTGCATAGGCATTTACTACAATTGTAGCAGCAAACGCAGCCCTTTAAAAACATGAGCTGAGATTATTGATCTAGGGTATGTAAATCAGCGATACATAAAGGACAAGATTTCCTAGCCAACATGAAGACACACCCACAGCCCTCAGAACAAAATGGCTGGTTATTGTGATTGAAAGAGTGTTGAGTACTATCACTGGAAGGTAGAACTGGACTCAGGATACTTTATGCTTTATTTTCCTAGTGTGGAATTGATGTCATGTGTTTACAAGTCTGCTAACAACTTTTAGCCTAAATCCAAGTCAAGAGACTTAGTGAAGGGCAATTGCAGGACTTAAATGGAAATAATCCAGTAATTTTAGGTGGCTCTGAAGAAGGCACCATCAGTCTTGGGCATTTGTATGCTGCTTTTAGCTTCCTGAACCACTCTGCACATAAGAGTTAAGAAAACTAAAGCTTGATTTTATCTTATCCAGAAAATTCTGGTTTAATTTTCAGTCTGGTTCTCCTTACCCTAAGGTCTCAGTTAATTCAGACTGGGAGATGCTACAATTCATGTGAAAAGAGCAAAGTTAGGGACCCAAGATTCCTTGCCGGTGCTGTAAGGTAACCACTAGGTCTGGGCAGACCCTTGGGGAAGCAGCCCAGCAATTTCTGGCCACATCAAAGTGTCTGACATGTGCAAGGGCAAACCTTGTGTAAGCCCTATGGATCTGTAGATGTGTGTGTGTACATGTGTGCATGTATGCATGTGTCAGTACTGGGGCTTAACTTGGGACCTCACTACCACTTGAACCACACTTGTACTTCTAGCGTTTTGCTGGGTAAGTGGAGATAAGAGACTCTTGGATTTATCTACCTGGGGTTAATTTTGAACCCTGAATATCAGATCTCAGCCTCCTGAGTAGCTGAGGCCCAACACGTGGCTAGCCCTAGTGTTTTATTTTAGGACTGCCTATGGGGCAAGTACACAGGATGAGCCACTAATATTTATGGTTAAGGTCATTCTTCATGGACCAAGTCCACTTTCCTTCAAATTCTCATTCACTTCAGAAAATTTTATTCTTATTACAATTCTGCTTAAGTCTCAGCTAACCAAGATTTCATGACAAAAGGGGAAGGTTTTCTTTTCTCTTTTTTTTTTTTTTTTTGTTCTAGTCTAAGAAAAAAAAATCAAACCAACCTGTGCTCAGCTTGGCTTCTAGTTCAGAAGTTTCTCTGCTAATCAAAAGAGTTGTAATACACAAGTAGCTGTTCACTGGTTAAAGACCAGGCTTAAAATGGTTCTCAAGGATTTAAATTTAGACCCATAAAGAGATACTTGTATTTAAAAAAAAAACCTGTAGAGAATACTCAATTTGTTCTAACAGAAGCGAGATTTCTCTGGAAATACAAATTTACTTAAAAGGTATTTTATAGAGTGTAGAGGTTGGAACCTGTGACCTGAGGATTTCGGGGTTTGTCAGCCTGCTGCTTCCTTTCTGTAGGAGCCTTCGTTCTCTCCTTGCTATTGCTTCCTTGTCTCCCCAGCAGCTCATTGAAATATGCCAAAGGCTGTGATCTCGGTTGAGGGATCACTGCAAAGAGGCTGTCAAATTCTTCACCCGCAAAGACACTCATTCCCCTTTCTGACAACAGTGCTACATTTAAAAATCAATTAAATACAGCAAAGGGTGTAAACATACCTTCCTGGCAATGGGAAGCTTTCCATTGTTCATGGTGACCACATTTCTAGGTCATGCATCTCAAGAACCAGTTGTGTCCCAGCAAGAGGACACAAAAGAATATGGTGTATTCCCCCCCCCCCCCACTTTCCTTTGGGCCTATCTAAGAACCTCAAATGAAATACATCAATTTTGTCACCCAGCTCAAAATCTCACAGCACTTTGTCAAGAAAAGAAGCTAATTATTTCCCTTTGACATCTGTAGTAGCCACAGGAAAGCAAACCTTAATGATGGAAAGTGGTGGAGGGGGTTGGGGGACATAGGATATGTTATTCCAGACCGGGGACAGTTGGTTGCTGACATTCCTAAATATGGGACCCGGGCAAGGAGATCTTGACAATCAGAACTCGTATTAGACGTGCTCAAGTCTAGTGAGGGAGGGTGGGAACGCCAAGAGACAGGCCAACAGGTACAGAATTACAGTTCCATAAGAGGAAAAAAGTTCCAATATTCTGGTGCATAACAGGAAGACTATAGATAATAGTAATGCAGTTATACCTTCCAAAACAGCTCAGAGAGGATTTTGAGTGTTCTCACTGTACAAGAAACGATGAGGTAAGAGATATCTATGTACTTTATTTGATCATTACACAGCTGTATGATTCAAAATGCCATACCCCTCTCCATAATCACAATTAGTATGTGTTGATTAAAAACAAAAAGTAGATTTTAGAGAGTAAGACTCTACTGTGCTACTGTGGTTTATAAAAGGTGTACAGCCAGAGCCAATGTGTGGACAGCTACTATTTTGGTGGCCTTGGTGTGTGTGTGTGTGTGTGTGTACAGCAATGCCTTGGATAGACCTAAAGTAGATATCTAAGTGAACCCGGCCGTTCCCAGGACTTACTGTTTTCAGCAGAATTTAAGGACTGTGCACATGCATCATTTTGGCTCATTTCTGAACTGAGATCAATGTATTTAGTATAGTCACCAGACAAAAGCAAGGGGAGGTGGCTGAAATTTGAAGTGGCACTGCTGCAGTTTTGATTTTCTTTTCCTAGAAGGGTGGAGGGAAGCATTGGGATTTGAACTCGGGTCCTCAAGCTTGCAAGACTACTGCTTTACTACTTGAGCCACTGAGGCACACCCCTAACTCTTTCAGTTATTTTTCCATATGGGGCCTCCTTTTTACCTTAGCTGGTATGTATATTCCTACTCCTCTCTCTTTTGTAGCTGGGAGGATGGAGAGCAAGACAGGTGTCTTGCTAACGTTTTGCCTAAGCTAGCTTTACCCATGATCTTTTCGCCCCACCTGCCTGCCTATGTAGCTGGGATTATAGGCTTGAGCCACTACAGCTGGCCCAGTAAATTGTATCACTTTAATAGATGTTAAAATGGGACACACCCATTTCACATCAAGGGGCATGTGCAGAGCAAGCCAGTGTGAAGCAAACCCATCTTTACCTAGTTCTGCCATGGACACGGTTGGGGAAGTCTCGCCATTGGTGAAGGAGCAGTAGGGAAAGAAACCGGATGCTGGTGTGTAGTCACAAATGGGTTCTGGTTTGATCCCATTGATATCGAGCCCGGACTGGTCTGGGGAGGGCTGGATGTCCAGGTAGAAGCTGCTGACAGCAGAGTCGGCCTTGCTGCCCTCGGGGGTGTGGCCGTCCATGTAGGTGCTGAGGTCATCGTGCAGCTCTGTCAGCCCATTGGCTGAGATGTTGTAGGTGGGTGTCAGCGGCTCGGCCTCTCCAGGCTGCTGCTGGTGGTCTCGCTGCTGCTGCTGCATCCGGTGCTTCTGCACTTCTGCATACAAGCTGTCTCTCTGCTTTTTGGACATTCGGCCGAATTTGACAGCTACAAGAAAAGAAAAATGCCAAACCACACCATAAACAACCAGCTAGACTTCATTATCCACTCCCTAGTGTTTCTAGGTGCCCTTAAAATCTAAGACACTGTCCAACGCCAACCTGAGTTACCACAGAATAATGATGGTGTGCCCAGGTGGCCACACCTGTCTGTATCTGTTTCATAAAAAGGCCCAGGAAGGGGGAAGAGAGCCCTGCCTCTATTTTCCTGCTGCTATGGACCCTGAGATTCGCTAGGGACCAAGAGATGAACTTAATGTGTTTGCTCATCTCCATCCATGTAGTTGACCTAGCTCTTCTAGCTCCTCTGCCTCTTTCCAGTATTGACTGCTAAGAACAGGGATGCCGGACTCTTTGGGTATGCTGAAGCAGAAGGGGTTCTCATCTGAGTTTTCATTGAGCTCTCTGTTTTGGGCATTCACATAAGCAGCTTTCTGACCTAACAGCTGGATCTGGAGCTGCATGGAAAGGTGTGAGCAGGTTAGATGTGCCTTTGTAATGTCCTAAATTGCATCTGAGTGTGATTTAAGAAGTAGTTCTTTCCTACTATGCAATCTTTGGATTCTTCTGTTGGTGGTGGTGGTGTTTTTGGAGGTAGGGGTCATGTTATGGAGTCCAGGCCAGCCTCAGACTCCAAAGTAGCTGGACCTACAGGCACACATCACTGCCCTATCTGAAGGTGACAAACCCTTCTTTGCTCATTTAGCTATTCAGGAAAGAGAACATCAGGAATTTGAGAAGGCCGACATGCCGGAGACACTGTCAGGTGGGTCTGTGTTTGCAGGGCCTCTCTTTACTTCTGAGTTATTCAGAGCCCCATGTCCTTCTGAGGCCCCCAGACAATTGACAAAAAAAAAGACCCTCTGATTTTTCTAGTCTGAATTCTCCCACTAATTTACTTCTCAGCTTGACTCAAGATGCAGATAAGCCTCTGCCAGAGGGACTTAGTTCTCCCAATTGGTTGTGGTTAAATTGATTCTGTATTGGGAGGCAACCTCATCTTTCTGACCAGCAGCATAATTGCACGAGGCAGGGCATGAAGGAAATAGCACGTTGGCCAGCAGGTGGCGTCTTTTCCTGCCCTCTGGAAGCAGGGCAGTTTTCACCACTCAGAAACTTAACAGTCAGGCTGAGGAGGACTCTAAGTTTAGGCAAGCTCCCAGCTTCAGTCCACCCCTACAACTGTACTTTGTCTTTCCCCTTCCCTCCCTCTCTCCCTTCTTCCTTCTTCTCTTTCCTTGCTTCCTTTCTTCCTCCCCCTCCTTCTTTCCCTCCCTCCTCTTTTTCTTTCAACTATTTTTTGGTGTTGGTACAGGGGCTGGAACTCAAGAAGGTGTCCTCATTCTTGCTTAGCTTTTTCCATGCAAGAAAACCATCATTCTACCTGCTCGAGCCACACCTCCACTTTTGGCTTTTGGCTTGTTAACCAGTGATAAGAATTTCTCAGATTTATCTGCCTGGGCTGGTTTCACACCTTGATCCTCAGATCTCAGCCTCCTGAGTTGGCTAGGATTACAGGTGTGAGCCACCAGTGCCTGACTTGTGCACGTGATATTTCTTATGTGTCAGTTTTTCAGAAGGCATGCTGAAAATTTTTTGCAGGAGAATATTCAGGAGTGACACTCTGCTTCAACTCCACTTTTGCTGTAATATTAGCAATAATCCTGCCATCCAGGAAGTGAAATGAAAGGACCAAGAGAGAATAAACACAAGCTGTAATTTTAACTCAAGGGTTCCTGAGAATGAGCTATGTCTACCTTTGTCAGTTTATGATCATGGGAAGGGGAATCTGCAGAGTTGTTTGTCTTAAAAACTTTTGAGAATGTGAGGTTCTATGTAACTTGTATCTCCAAGACCTATGTTTTTTTTTTTTTTCCTGTGTGGGTACTAAGGTTGAATTCTGGGATACACATTTGCTCAGCTTGCTTGCTGGGTTGGTGCTCTATCACTTGAGCCATGCCTCCTAGCTCTGCTTTTAGCTGGTTATTTTGGAGATGCTTGGATTTGTCTGCCAAGGCTGGCTTTGAATTGAGATCCTCTGGATCTCAGTCTCCTTAATAACAAGGATTAAGTATGAGCAACCAGCCCCTGGCTAAAACTGTTGTACTCGTGCACAGCGCAGTCTCTTGCCTGGGTGGTCTACAGACCCTAAGGACATTCCTCCCCTGAGCGTCCAGTGGTGTGAGCTGGTGTGCCTTTTCTTCAGGCAGCTCGCTGGTATATTCAGAGGAATCCTTCAAATGCACTTGCTGTCCTCGCTTTACAGTTTCCACATGATGTGGATTATCTAGTGCACGTAGAATAGTTTTCCAGGAAGATCTTGAAATGTTCTAGAATTAAATGGTAGCTATTGTTCAGTCCTTATTTTTCTTTTCTTTTTTCTTTTGTCAGTTGTGGGGCCTGAACTCTGGGCCTGGGCGCTGTCCCTCAGCTCTTCAGCTCAAGGTGAGCACTCTACCACTTGAGCCAAGCACCACTTCCGGCTTTTTTTTTTTCTGTTTATGGGGTGCTGAGGAATCGAACCCAGGGCCTCATGCATGCAAGGCAAGCACACTACCACTGAGCCAACTTCCCAGCCCCCCAGTCCTTATTTTTTAAAAATAGCTTTTTTTTTTTGGTTGGTCATGGGGCTTGAACTCTGGGCCTGGGCGCTGTCCCTCAGCTCTTCAGCTCAAAGCTGCGCTCTACCACTTAAGCCACAGCGCCACTTCTGGTTTTCTGAGTGGTTTATTGGAGATAAGAGTCTCACTGACTTTTCCTGCCTGGGCTGGCTTTGAACCACGATCATCAGAGCTCAGCCTCCTGAATAGCTAGGATTACAGGCATGAGCCACTGGTACCCAGCTTAAAATAGCTTTTCAATGAAAGGCACATTTGTCATCAAGCCATTATCTGCACTATTTTCACCCTTTCTGGAGAAATATTTGACTTTGCCATGTGATTCAAAAGATCTAGTTGGGGCTGGGAAGGTGTCTCAGTGGTAGAGCGCTTGCCTTGCATGCATGAGGCCCTGGGTTCCATTCCTCAGCACCACATAAGCAGAAAAAAAAAAGCCAGAAGTGGCACTGTGGCTCAAGTGGTAGAGCGCTAGCCTTGAGCTGAAGAACTGAGGGACAGCACCCAGGCCCAGAGTTCAAACCCCATGACCGACAAAAAAAAAAAAAAAATCTAGTTAACAACAAAAAAGATCTCTTTCATTGTAACTGTTCATGAACTTTTGAGTAAGGGATCTGATAAGCCTGGCTTGTATTTACTCTGTGAGGAAAATGCCTATTGGAGGTATATTCATGAAGGCTCCTAGATCATACTTAGGATTAACCAATTCACACCCCTGCAATGTCTGAAATGTTTTTCAGCTATGAGCCTTGTCACTTCTATTCCCCCCTCCTCTTTCCATCAGCTAGTCGACTTACATCGATCACAGGGAGAAATCTGCCAGTTCTCTGAAGGGAGCTGATTCTGTCAGATCTGGTCCTTGTTTTTGAAGGCATCTTTCCACCTTCTGATTGGGTACCACTCCCAACTGTGTGAGTGAGTGTGTGTGTGTGTGTGTGTGTGAGAGAGAGAGAGAGAGAGAGAAAGAGTGAGAGGGAGAGAGCACTCACCATCACGAGACATCCCCACAGCCAGACATTTCTGCAACCGGCAGTGTTGACAACGGTTCCTGCTGGTTCGATCAATCAAACAGTTCTTCTGCCGGGGACAGGAGTAGGTGGCGTTACTTTGCTGACTTCTCCTGAAAAAGCCCTGTGATTCAGTTACAAAACAGAAAGCAGGTTAGTGTCAGTGTGAGTGCGATGATGCTCACGGCGGCATCCTCAGCACCGAGCGGCATTAATATTTAATGGAGAATTCGACTCGTAGCAGAATCATCCAGGAGCCCATTAATGAAATTAAAGTCACTTCTTTTTCCTGGAGGAAAATTGATCCCCAGAGCCTAATCCTGCATCCCTTATACATGCAAAACTTTAACTTCGATAGTTGCCCATGTAAAAGGCACCAGAATAAGCTCCTGTTCTTGGCAACTGATGATGGAAAGTCATGTGCTTGGTTCCTCTTTAATCTTTATTGCCAAAGTAATTTTAATATATAAACATAAAACATCTCTCTGGGATGTTCAGAGTTAAGGACATAGCAATTATACCATAATCTAGAACGTTATAATCATGTTACACTAAAAAGCTTTTTGTTTTTGTGCTAGTCCTCAGGCTTGAACCCAAGGCCTGGGTGCTGTCTCAGAGCTTTTGAGCTTAAGGTGAATATTCTACCACTGGAGCCACAGCTCCATTTCCACAAAATTTTGGTAGTTAACTGGAGATAAGAGTTTCACACACTTTCCTGGCCAGGCTGGCTTTGAACAGCAATCCTCAGATGTCAGCCTCCTAAGTAGGTAGGAATACAGGTGTGAGCCGCTGGCACCCAGGTAGCCTATATTTTCATTGTTGACCTATCTTACAGGGGTTTTGTAAGTGAGGTGTGTGTACAGCTGGAGTTGGTCATGTTTGTGATGTATAGACAGGAAGTATACAGGACAGAATTAGCATCTCAAAGCTTCAGTGGTAAGGATGGATGACTACAGCGGAGGGAACACTAGTGGACAGGAGAGAGTAAAACCCTGGTGAGCTTGACCACAGTACTCTTGAAGAGGTTTTTCTCGAAGCCGTTTTGACCCATGTGCACTCAGATTTTTTTTTTATCCTACTACAATGTACAGTTAGAAAGGCATACAACCTACTTGAAAGACCAGTCTTAGCATGACCACTTTCTCTGTGTGGTGACCAGGAGCCTTTGTGGAGTAAATCATTGCATATGATGTACTGAGCCTCAGTTATGAGTTTGTCGGAAAATGATCCCGGGAAGGTGTGTATGGGGCAGAATTCTGATTTCACCTCTTCTTGCGCACTTGCTAACCTAGATACAAGCAGTGCTAAGAGCTGGGCCTCTCAAGCCTGTCTTTATTGTACTTTAGATGTGCCTATGTCAAGTCTGGCCTCTTCAGTAAAGTGGTCTCTTCTCAAAATACCTACAAGTGCACGCTCTCTCTCTCCACACCCGCCACCCCTTCCTGTGAAAACAGAGAGAAGAAGCAAAGCCTTCTTTGTGTTTAGTGGAGACAATCTAAGAAAATATTAAAGCAGATAATCTTTTGAAAGAGGTCCCGGGAGATCACCTAGCTAGGCATTTATTTCAGTGTGACACAGACAGTCTCTGTCAATGCTGAGAGGTTTGTCTTGAGTCTCAGCCGTTACTCAAACCCTCTTTTGCTCATGCTTTTTTAGGGCTCAAATCAGAAACTTATTTGTGTGGCTACTGGTGGCTCATGCCTGTAATCCTAGCTACTCAGGAAACTTGATATCTAAGGACTCAGGTTCAAAGCCAGCCTGAAAAGAAACATCTGTGAGACTTTTATCTCCAATTAACCAGCAAAATCTGGAAGTAGAGGTGTGGCTCAAGTAGTAGAGCACCAGGTTTGAGTGGAAAAAGTGAAATGTAAGAGGACCTGAGTTCAAGCCCTAGTCCTGACACACACTACAATTTTATTTGCTTTTCTGTTAGTTGAGGTAGAACTGTGGGCTTCACGTTCAAACTGTTAACATTTGTGACATGATCAATGAGATATAGAATGTCTGGTTATTTTCTTGTTTTCCTCTCAGTGGAACTAGGATTTGGTGGGCTGTCGAAGGTCACAGGATCTGTCATTTTTCCTTTTCTGGGCTCTTTCCCACTTGTAATATTTCTTCTCAGAGCCCTCTCCAACTTTTTCACTTCTGCCAAAAGCCAGAAGTGTGGAACTTGAGACAGAGAGCTTGAGTAATGGTTGGAACCTTGATGAAAGGGATGCTGTGTCTTGGTTTCCCCATTATTAATTTCATATCACACCACTACAAAGTTCTAGAATGTTTGCGTGGAAGCCATATATAACCACCAGTTTTTTCTGGAACAAGGGAACTTTGAGAGGGCCTCATGATGATGCACACATAGACAGATCTTAATGAGGACTGGCATTAATCGTATCTTGTTTTTCAGTGGTTTTGATGCTTAGATGTATGGTCACTGATGGGCCTGAAGGCACTGCCCTTCCCAGACCTAACCAGGCCCTACAGTGAGCCTTTCACAGACAAACCACTTATATCCAACAGTCTCCTTTATTAGGCTTCGGTTGTCCTCCGCCCTCGCCACCCCAGGATCCAGACAGGGCTATGCGTTAACTCCCTCTTTGTTCAAACTAGCCAATCTTAAACCTGCCGAAGCACAATAGAGGCCCTGGGCCTGTGTTTTCCTGTCTCTCCCTCTGACTCTTGATCCACCCCACGCTTCCCCGCTGTGGTCCTCCATCCTCCCACCCCCTTTACCCCCAGCATGGCTTGTCATCGGTTCTGTTTCTAGAGATTTGGGAGTATAACCAGTGTCTCCACAAGTCCTTTCCACATGTGGGTGTCCTGTGGTATTTGATTAGAACAAATCTTAGGTACCAATGGAACAGTGCTTACCCCATGAGTTATGTGGATAGTGACACGTGAACGTGGCCAGGTGCTGCAGTTTCCTTCATTATCAGGGTAAGAGTGAGGGAAAGTAAGTTTTGTGAGGGGGAAGCAACTTGCTCAGAATCCCACATCAAGTATGAGGTCATGTTGGTGGATGAATTTTTGGGGTCTCCTACTGTTATTTCTGTTGTCTGCTTCCCTTGTATAGCAGGATTCTTTTAGCTATACAAGGCAGCCATAAATCAGTATTTAAAAAACTGCATAATAATGTAGTAAGACAAGTCTCACTCTGGAAATTGTTTTCAGCTGGCCCAGGTTTCTGCTCCCCAGACATTTTTATGAGATTCTCCTGTAGAGCTGTAGCTTTGTAGTGGTATAGAGGTTGACAGTCACATGGGACACCTGCTTATGATTCCATCATTTCTGGCATTTCTGTCTGGAAGTAATATGTCCCCTTGGATTCGCCTTACCTATCTACACGCAATCACTTTGTCTCATTTACAAAGCAGTCACCATCATTAAAAAATGCCTGAGATGAGTCATACTCATAAATTAAGATGCTGAATTGAAACCCCTTTATACAACTACTTTAAAGATAATTTAAAAATTATAAAAATAGTGGCGCTGTGGCTCTAGAACGCCTGCCTTGAGCTGAAGAGCTCGGGGACAGAGCCCAGGTCCAGAGTTCAAGCCCCATGACCGACAAAAAAAAATTATAAAAATAAAGCCCGAATAGCCAGGCCCTGGTAACTCATGTCTGTAACCTTAGCTACTCAGGAGGCTGAGATCTGAGAATCACAGAGCCAGCCAAAGTAGAAAAGTCCCTGAGACTCTTCAATTAACTACCCTAGAAAGCCAAAAGTAGAGGTGTTAGCTCAAATGGTAGATTACCATCCTTGAGCAAAAATGCCAACTTAGAGCTTGAGGCCCTAAATTCAAGAACACATGCAAAAAATAAGTAAATAGGGCTAGGAAGGTGGCTCAGTGGTAGAGTGCTTGCTTGCCTTGCATGCATGAGGCCCTGGGTTCAATTCCTCAGCACCACATAGCAGAAGAAGCCAGAAGTGGCGCTGTGGCTCAAGCAGTAGAGTGCTAGCCTTGAACTGAAGAGCTGAGGGACAGCACCCAGGCCCAGAGTTCCGGCCCCACCACCGACAAAATTAAATAAATAAATAAAGCTTGAGGAATTGTGCCATAAAATTGGAGGGCCTGGCGGTAGGCATTCCACATTTACTTTGAAGAGTGGTGCTGTGGTTATAGCTAATGTCTGTCTTCCAATCTTTCTGCTTTGATGTCTCAGCTGGGAAGAGTTTGTGCATGATACTTTATGCCATAATTTATTGGTCAATCAGATCCAATGAGCAAATGCTTGCTAAGAAGATCTGGGAGTAGTATAGCTAGGAAGAACCAGAGAAGATGCCTTCTTTGGGATAAGATCACAGAATCATTAGCACAAGGAGAAATGTTGACTACTAGATGGGGGGGGGTCAGGTGGGGTTACAGGGTGAGAGTCTCACTATACCTCCTTGACTCAAATCAACCCTTGCATGCACTTTCTGAAGAAAATGAGGAGTAGGTCTCTTTTTACATTTCATCTTTTCAACATTCCTTAGGGGTTTCTCAGAGATTTAATAATTTGGGAAGTTGAAAGAGATTAAATATTAAAGGCTAAACCACATATAAGACAGACTGGGATTAGAAGAGAGAAAGAAAAGGGAATAGTAGGAATCTTCCTGGCTACATGTAGAATCGGGAGCTTGTCCATTAGAGAGAGATGCTTGGAGAATCCCTCCTGGAGATGAGTGACAGCAGACGTGAGTTCCAGGGGCTGCGCAATCTGAGGTCACATAGACGATGGGAAGGACGAGCCAGTGCATGGAGTTTTGTGAAGTATTGTGTATGTAGTCCGCCCAAGAAAGGGCTGAAGCTATGTGTTATCTGGGGAAGATAAAGTATCTCCTTTTGCAATTTTATGATTTCTGCAAGATGAGCTGCTAATGGATTCTTCATTACAAAAGAAAGTTTGCTTGTGGAGGGGAAGGGGAAAAACAAATCGTTTAAATAGGGATACAGGTGGACCCATTGCAACAATGAGATGTATAAGTCGTTATGTCGAAAACGAACTTTACAACTTTGGTGGGGGAGGTGGGAGGATGATGGGAAGGGATGGGAAGGGGAAACAAAGGAGGAGGCTACAATGCTTGATAAGAAATGCACTCATTATCTTGCCCATGTAATTGTAACCCCTCTGTACAGTATTTT